CATGACTTGCTCCACGTAAAATTGTCACACTATGGTATAAGAGGGCACTCCCTCAACTACCTCAAGTCTTACCTCAGCAACAGAAGCCAATATGTGTACGCAAATGGGGCAAACTCTTCTGCACAACCAATTACAGTTGGTGTCCCACAGGGAAGTGTCCTTGGCCCTCTTCTCTTTCTCCTATACATAAATGACCTACTCAAACCCACACTATTTGCAGATGACACTACATACGTCTTCTCTCACCCTAGCCCAGTCATGCTAGCCAATACTGTAAATACCGAATTACAGAAAATATCTACCTGGATGAGGACTAACAAACTTACACTAAACATTGACAAAACCTACTGCATTCAGTTTGGTAACAGAGCTACAGATGTCCCTCTTAACATAATGATAAACGGATCACCTATCACAAAGCTAACAGAGGGAAAATTCTTAGGAATCCACCTTGATAATAGACTCAAATTTCATACACATATACAACAAATTTCTAAGAAAATTTCCAAGACCGTAGGCATACTATCAAAGATACGGTACTATGTTCCACAGTCAGCCCTCCTGGCCCTTTATCCCTCTCTTATTTACCCCTATCTCACCTATGGAATTTGTGCATGGGGCTCAACAACAATTAACCATCTCAGACCACTAATTACCCAACAAAAGGCTGCAGTTAGAATGATAACAAATTCCCACTACAGGCAGCACACTCCACCAATATTCAATACACTAAACCTACTCACCATACAAAACATCCATACTTATTACTGCACCTATTACATACATAGAACACTTAACTCTGATATTAACCCTCCCCTCAAACATCTCCTTGCCAACCTCAACAGAACACATGACCATAACACAAGGCACAGATCACTCTTTGATGTTCCTCGTGTCCATCTCACGCTATGCAAAAACTCAATGCACATAAAAGGCCCTAAAATCTGGAATTCATTACCTGTAGATATAAAAGAAACACTACCTGTTTATAAATTCAAGTCTCTTCTCAAAGATCACTTACTCACTCAAAACCAAATAAATACTGAAAAACTGAACCTTATAAATTGTATATCTTAAATGTTTCTCATAATTATATCACATAAATGTTAAACCTAAGACCCAATCTAACTTTGTTATTTTTTAAATACACTACCTAACAGAATACTCCATTCTACTGAATGTACAGCAATGCATGCAACCATATGACCTGTCTTTGTAATACTAATTTGTGCTTTATTGTTATCTGTTTACAATAATGTTTTATCTCTGATTACATCATTGCTTAGTTAATCTTAAGTTAATTTTAAGCCAGCCCGTAATGCTATGCATAAAAGTGGCTTTGGCATGCTGCTCTTACCTGTATTTTTTTGTACCTCTGTATGTATGTTCAAATTATTAAATAAATAAATAAATAAATAAATGGAAGGAATGGATGAGATTGGAGAAAGGGATTACTTAGTAGGCACAGTTCAGTCTGGGAGACATAAGGTAATCATTGCAGTGATGTATAACCTGCCACAGAACTGCAGCAGGCGAAGAGAGGAATATGGAGACAGCAACAGAACAATGGTGGACACACTAGCAGAGGTAGCCAGAAGAGCTCACTCGAGTAGAGCAAAGTTACTGGTTATGGGTGATTTCAACCACAGAGAGATTGATTGGGAAAACCTGGAGCCTCATGGCGGTTCCCAAACATGGAAAGCCAAGATGATGAATGTGGTACTGGAAAACCTCATGCACCAACATGTTAGAGACACTACCAGAGAGAGAGGGGGGAGGACAAACCAGCAACATTGGACCTTGTGTTCACCCTGAGTAGCTCAGACATTGAGGACATCACATATGAAAGGCCCCTTGGAGCTAGTGATCACGTGGTTCTGAACTTTGAATACATAATAGAGTTACAAGTGGAGAGGGTAACAGGAATCGAAAGGGAAAAGTCAAACTATAAAAGGGGGGACTACACAGGTATGAGGAACTTCCTGCAGGAGGTTCAGTGAGAAAGAGAATTGGTAGGAAAGTCAGTAAACGAAATAATGGACTACATAACAACATAATGCAAGGAGGCAAAGGAAAGGTTTGTTCCCAAGGGCAACAGAAATAATGGGAAGACCAGAATGAGCCCCTGGTTTAACCGAAGGTGTAGGGAGGCAAAAAATAAGTGCACCAGAGAATGGAAAAGGTACAGAAGGCAAAGGACCCAGGAAAATAAAGAGATTAGTCGAAGAGCCAGAAACGAGTATGCACAGACGAGGGAGGCCCAGCGACAGTACGAAAACAACATAGCATCGAAAGTCAAGTCTGACCCGAAACTGTTTTATAGCCACATCAGGAGGAAGACAACAGTCAAGAACCAGGTAATCAGGCTGAGGAAAGACGGTGGGGAGCTCAAAAGAAACGACCAAGAGGTATGTGAGGGGCTCAACACGAGATTTAAGGAAGTATTTACACTGGAGACAGAAAGGACACTGGGAAGACAAAACAGAGGGGTACACCAGATATACCAAGAGATATACCAACAAGTGCTGGATGACATACACACAACCGATGAAGAGGTGAAGAAGCTGCTAAGTGGTCTTGATACCTCAGAGGTGGTGGGACCGGAAAACATCTCTCTGTGGGTCCTTAGAGAGGGAGCAGAGATGCTGTGTGTGCCACTAACCACAATCTTCAACACATCCCTGGAAACTGGACAATTACCTGAGGTATGGAAGACGGCAAATGTAGTCCCCATTTTTAAGAAAGGAGACAGAAACGAGGCACTAAACTATAGACAAGTGTCACTGACGTGTATAGTATGCAAAATCATGGAAAAGATTATCAGGAGGAGAGTGGTGGAGCACCAAGAATGGAACAAGATTATAAACGACAACCAGCATGGATTCATGGAAGGCAAATACTGTGTCACAAGCCTACTGGAGTTTTATGACAAGGTAACAGAGGTAAGATGCGAGAGAGAGGGGTAGGTTGATTGCATTTTCTTGGACTGGAAGAAGACCTTCGACACAGTTCCTCACAAGAGATTAGTGCAGAAGCTAGAGAATCAGGCACGTATAACAGGAAGGGCACTGCAGTGGATCAGAGAATACCTGACAGGGAGGCAACAAAGAGTCATGGTACGTTATGAGGTATCACAGTGGGCTACTGTGACGAGCGGGGTCCCACAGGGGTCAGTCCTAGGACCAGTGCTAGTTTTGGTATATGTGAATGACATGACGGAAGGGATAGACTCAGAAGTGTCCCTGTTTGCAGATGATATGAAGTTGGTAGGTTGGTAGACAGCAACCGCCCAGGGAGTCACTACCGTCCTGCCAAGTAAGTGTAAAACGAAAGCCTGTAATTGTTTTACATGATGGTAGGATTGCTGGTGTCCTTTTTTCTGTCTCATAAACATGCAAGATTTCAGGTACGTCTTGCTACTTCTACTTACACTTAGGTCACACTACACATACATGTACAAGCATATATATACATACCCCTCTGGGTTTTCTGGTATTTTCTTTCTAGTTCTTATTCTTGTTTATTTCCTCTTATCTCCATGGGGAAGTGGAACAGAATTCTTCCTCCGTAGGCCATGCGTGTTGTAAGAGGCGACTAAAATGCCGGGAGCAAGGGGCTAGTAATCCCTTCTCCTGTATAAATTACTAAATTTGAAAAGAGAAACTTTTGTTTTTTTGGGGGGCCACCTTGCCTCGGTGGGATACGGCCAGTTTGTTGAAAAAAAAATAAAGTTAATGAGCAGAATTAAATCAGATGAGGATCAGGCAGGACTACAAAGAGACCTGGACAGGCTGGACGCGTGGTCTAGCAACTGGCTTCTCGAATTTAACCCTGCCAAATGCAAAGTCATGAAGATCGGGGAGGGGCAAAGAAGACCGCAGACAGAGTATAGGTTAGGTGGCCAAAGACTGCAAACCTCACTCAAGGAGAAAGATCTTGGGGTGGGCATAATACTGAGAACGTCTCCGACAGCTCACATTAACCAGATAACTGCTGCAACATATGAGCGCCTGGCAAACTTGAGAATAGCATTCCGATACCTCAGTAAGGAATCGTTCAAGACTCTGTACACCGTGTACTTCAGGCCCATACTGGAGTATGCAGCACAAGTTTAGAACCCACACCTGGTCAAGCACGTCACGAAATTAAAGAAAGTGAAAAAGTTTGCAACAAGGCTGGTTCCAGAGCTAAGGGGAATGTCCTACGAAGAAAGGTTAGGGTAAATCGGCCTGACGACACGGAAGGACAGGAGGGTTAGGGGAGACATGATAACGACATACAAAATGCTGCGAGGAATAGGCATGGTGAACAGAGACAGGATGTTCCAGAGATTAGACACAAAAACAATGAGCACAATTGGACATTGAAGACTCAGATGAGTCAAAAGGATATTAGGAAGTATTTCTTCAGCCATAAAGTTGTCAGGAAGTGGAATAGTCTGGCAAGTGGTGTAGTGGAGGCAGGAACCATACACAGCTTTAAGACGAGGTATGATAAAGCTCATGGAGCAGGGAAAGAGTGGACCCAGTAGCGGTCAGTGAAAAGGCAGGGGCCACTAGCTTAACCTCGACCCCTGCAACCACAAATAGGTGAGTACAAATAGGTGAGTACACACACACACACACACACACACACACACACACGTGTCATCAACTTTTATATTTTTTTAAAGAATATTGGCGATAAGACAGAGGTTGTGGTGGATCGAAGTCTCATCTCCCAGACTGTTACTGCTGGCAGCACGCACTCCAACGTGCGAATCACAGCCAGGCTGGTTAAGTTCTGATTTCAGAAACTTGTCCAGATCTAAATCAGTTCCTCACTCGTTTACTGAACTACGGTACGTCTTGGAAGAGCTTGTAGGACCTGCAGTGACATGTTGGTTTTCTTGAAGTGATTTCAGCATTCCTCGTGATAGCTGCATATTATTGCAGATGGTCCAAGAACATCATTTTTTCACATTTCTGTTTTCCGTTGGTTGTGGTTTTGGTGTTCCGGGTTCACAGCTGTTGTAATTTCTGAATCTGCACCAGGGCCAGAACTATCACTAACAGTGTCAGGGCTGACACCACAACTATCAGGGTCGCCAGCAATAGCATCACAGGAAACCGCACCGGTATCACCTCCAGACCCACCTGGGCCCTTGTATCAGCTCTGAAGCTGACACCAGTGGTTCTGGTAGGTCCGGAACTGATACCAGTGGTCCTGGTGGGTTTGGAACTGATACCAGGGGCCCTGGTGGGTCTGGAACTGATACCAGTGGCCTTGGTGGGTCTGGAACTGATACCAGTGGTCTTGGTGGGTATGGAACTGATAACAGTGGTCCTGGTGAGTCTGGAACTGATATCAGTAGCCCTGGTGGGTTTGGAGCTGATACCGGGGCCACTGGTATCAGCACCAATTTCAGTACTGGGAGCCAGCATGTGCGTGTTGACATCAAGGATTACTTCAATTGTGTCATTTAGGGGATGAGTCTCCACTTGGAGGTCTTCATCATACTGATGACAGGTCTTCGCAGGGTCAAGCAAGTCAGACATGAACGACTCCTTGTATGATACTGGTGGCTCGTACTTCTGTAATATTTAAGATTAAGCCCTTGTTTTTCTCGCATATTGTATTCCCAACCAGTCCTTATAACCATGTCACTTTCACCTGGGGTTTGCAACCCATTCTAAAGTTAGGTTGGTATTTGGTTAGGTTAGGTTAGGTTAGGTTAGGTTAGGTTAGGTTAGGTTAGGTTAGGTTAGGTTAGGTTAGATTAGGTTAGGTTAGATTAGGTTAGGTTAGGTTAGGGTAGGTTAGGTTAGGCTAGGTTAGGTTAAGTTAGGTTAGGTTAGGTTAGGTTAGGTTAGTTTGGGTTAGGTTAGGTTAGGTTAGGCTAGGTTAGGTTAGGTTAGGTTAGGCTAGGTTAGGCTAGGTTAGGTTAGGTTAGGTTAGGTTAGTCTAGGTTAGGCTAGGTTAGGTTAGGTTAGGTTAGGTTAGGTTAGGTTAGGCTAGGTTAGGTTAGGTTAGGTTAGGTTAGGTTAGGTTAGGTTAGGTTAGGCTAGGTTAGGCTAGGTTAGGTTAGGTTAGGTTAGGTTAGGCTAGGTTAGGTTAGGTTAGGTTAGGTTAGGTTAGGTTAGGCTAGGTTAGGTTAGGCTAGGTTAGGTTAGGTTAGGTTAGGTTAGGTTAGGCTAGGTTAGGTTAGGTTAGGTTAGGTTAGGTTAGGTTAGGTTAGGTTAGGTTAGGTTAGGTTGGGTTAGGTTAGGTTAGGTTAGGTTAGGCTAGGTTAGGTTAGGTTAGGTTAGGTTAGGTTAGGCTAGGTTAGGTTAGGTTAGGTTAGGTTAGGTTAGGTTAGGTTGGGTTAGGTTAGGTTAGGTTAGGTTAGGCTAGGTTAGGTTAGGTTAGGTTAGGTTAGGTTAGGCTAGGTTAGGTTAGGTTAGGTTAGGTTAGGTTAGGCTAGACCGGGTTAGGTTACAATGAAAAGCTATAAATATAAAAGACGATAAAGAATAAAAAGCACATTACCATGACTGAAACAATATACAAATAACCCGCATATAGAATGAAACTTCTGACGACGTTTCGGACCAAAATATCGTCATAAGTTTCCTCATATGTGCGGGATGTTTGTGAAAAAGTGATACAAAAAATGTCTGCCGCTGGAACAGAAAACGGGGAGCTGGTGGTCGCCACTCGTGCAAAACAGTCATATTTCAACTGTTCAAGACTGTCACCAGCCACCCGTTTGACTGTTTTTACAAGAGTGCCGTGATGTGTGTGGCTCAGAGGACGGGCTTTGTATTCCACTCCTGTCTCACCTAAGACAGACCAAATACACTTTAGAAGTATTCTGGTTCTTTTTCATATCCGACACAATACATCCCGTTCATAAATCACGTGACCGCCTCACTGAAGACACCTGGGGTTTCCAGTGTTGGTGTAGTGGGAAGGTATGGGAGGGAGTCTGGTATAGGACGCTGGTTGATGATGGTGGGTGGACATCCAGATCTGTGTTAGTGAGTGAATTTGATCGTGGTTGTGGGTAATGGTTGCGAATGGTGGGCGAATTTGGTGGTGGTGGTGAAGGCTGGATTTGACGAATATGTCATACCGATGGGGTGTGCGCCATCAATCATCCAAGACAAATTGCTTTCTTCCCACTAACAGCTCAAGGCCTTTCTCACTGTTACCAGTGCTTCGTCAGGAGCTGTGTAATGAGGAAATCGATAAATGGGGTGAGCCGCGTGTTGTTCCAGAGAAATGGAAGACACAGCGTCACTCAGCTCCTGGTGGTGCACCAATACTTGTCACAAAACACAATATACAAAACATGACAGGAAGCTCATAAGTCATAACAAACCAGTATCACTGTATCTAGTAGAAAGGTGCACAAATTTGGTGCACCATTATAGAGTAGCGGTAGAATAAGATCCAAGGGTACGAGTATCGTATCATCAACCTACTGGCTAAGTACCTTTATATAACAGAAGATTACCAACGTTTAGGAAGCACTTTTTTTTATCCATCTGTTTAAGTTACAGAGACCAGCTGTTGAGTTACGTCGCTACTGTAAAAACGTAAAATTATAATGTAAGGATTATAATAAATCCATTTATTTACTGACAGGCTAAATGCTGATTCACACATACGATGAAATAAGTCTGCTCTTGACAGATAGCATTAATAAATAACTAAAAAAAAAGTGCGTCAACAGATTTCTGGAATCTTCTGTAGCATAACGCAACTTATTAGCCAGCAGGTTGATGATACTTAATATTCATGTCCTTGGATGTTTTTCTACCGCTATTCTAATCACTTATATTCGATATCCCTGGGTAGGGTACAACATTTTTGCACCATTATACTACCGTAGATACATTGATACTGATTTGATATGTCTTTTGAGCATATTGTTATGCTCTCCATTTTGTGTTTAGTGCTTTCCGATAAGTATTCACGCGCCACTAGAGGATGAGTGATGTTGTGCATCCCCTCCTCTTTTCTCTCTATCTCTCTGGTACAGGAAATGGCTCATTCCACTCCTCCATCCTACCTTTGAAAATTTTCCTTTCATGTAATATGAGTTGGATTGTGTCCCAGTCTATGAGATACATAGTTTTGTCTTTATGTATCGTTGTTAGTGTTGCATGTTTTTAATGCATATCTATGTTCTAAGAGTCGTGTCTTGAGGTTAGGCACTGTCTCACCTAAATGGAATATACTGCATCCAGCTCAAGGAATGGTGTAGACTCGAGATGAAGTGGCAGATGTGCTGAGTATACAGGGTTCAGTTGTCCTTAACGGTTTACGATGAAACCACAGGCACTTTAATTTTAGCATCAGTATTGACAATGTTACTGGTAGAGAGGACCGCACACCTGTCGACTTCGGCGTTCCCCACGGTACAGTGTGCTTTCCAGTGTGCTAGAAAACTTCAGCCTGGCAGAAGCTGTTGGAGATACAGCGGCATTGCTCCTCCAGGTAATCAGTACTGTCAAGCCTATAGGCTCTGGGGAAGAATCTAATTAGGACACCACGCTTGATTTTGAAGTCATGGTAACGAAAGAAGAGGATATGGTCGTCCTTATTGGTGGGTTTTCTGTAGACATTGCATTTGAATGTGTTGTCATCTTTGATTTATACAATATCGAGGAAGGTAGACATTCATCTTTTGCTTCCACAAGAGTGAACTGTATGTAATATTCCATACTGCTGAGTATCTCCAAGGTTCCCAACACATCTTACCTGGAGGTTATTCCGGGGATCAACGCCCCCGCGGCCCGGTCCATGACCAGGCCTCCCGATGGATCAGGGCCTGATCAACTAGGCTGTTACTGTTGGTCGCACGCAGTCCAACGTACGAGCCACAGCCCGGCTGATCCGGCACTGACTTTAGGTATCTGTCCAGCTCTCTCTTGAAGGCAGCCAGGGGTTTATTGGCAATTCCCCTAATGCTTGATGGGAGGCTGTTGAACAGTCTTGGGCCCCGGACACTTATGGTGTTTTCCCTTAGTGTACCAATGGCGCCCCTACTGTTTATTGGGGGCATTTTGCATCGCCTGCCCAGTCTTTTACTTTCGTAGGGAGTGATTTCTGTGTGCAGATTTGGGACCATTCCTTCCAAGATTTTCCAAGTGTATATTATGATATATCTCCCCCTCCTGCGTTCCAACGAGTACAAGTCAAGTGCTTCCAAGCGTTCCCAGTAGTTAAGGTGCTTGACAGAATTTATATGTGCAGTAAAGGATCTCTGTACACTCTCTAGATCTGCGATTTCACCTGCTTTGAATGGAGATATTAATGTACAGCAGTATTCCAGCCTAGAGAGAACAAGTGATTTGAAAAGGATCATCATTGGCTTGGCATCTCTCGTTTTGAAAGTTCTCATTATCCATCCTATCATTTTCTTTGCACGTGCGATCGTGGCACTGTTGTGATCCTTGAAAGTGAGATCCTCAGACATTACTACTCCCAGGTCCCTTACATTATTTTTCCGCTCTATTGTATGGCCAGAGTCTGTAGTATACTCTGTTCTAGTTATTATCTCCTCCAGTTTTCCATAACGGAGTAGTTGGAATTTATCCTCATTGAACATCATATTGTTTACCGTTGCCCACTGGAAAACTTTGTTTATATCTTCTTGGAGGTTAACCGTGTCAGCCTCATGCAGATCCTAGTATCATCCGCAAAGGATGATACGGTGCTGTGGTGTATATCTCTGTTTATGTCTGATATGAGGATAAGGAATAAGATGGGGGCGAGTACTGTGCCTTGTGGAATAGAGCTCTTCACTATGGCAGCCTCCGATTTAACTCTGTTGACCACTACTCTTTGTGTTCGATTTGTTAGGAAGTTGAAGAGCCATCTCCCCACTTTCCCAGTTATTCCTTTAGCACGTATTTTATGGGCTATTGCATCCAGACAACTTCTGGGTAATAGGAGGTAATAACGATCGATACAAGAGAAAATAGTTCCAATTCACTGAATCAAAAACCCCCTCACCGACATCTAGGTACCTTTGTTAAGGGACAAGTGAAATACATCCATGGAGAACGGCAACTGAATTTTAAGAGCATCGAGATCTCTTAATCACGCTCTCTAGGAATAATAAAGGCATTACTATTAAGGGTGTAATACAGTAGAGACAAAGAGAGTCAAGTTCTGGCTCTGCCACAACCATTAATGTCAGTGACGTTTCTTAAGGAAGGCACTGGATGTTTCGGGAGCAATTGCATCAATTCACATCAATAAAACATGCTTGCAAGTCATGAGCATCTTCACTGTGACAGTATACCTGAAGGTATGTGTCACTGCTCCCATGGCCACTGCCGCTCCAGCCCAAGACCGCCTCCTGGAATCATCGACAGAAGAAGTTCTCGAAAGCAGCCAGCCAGAGACTGGCAGGACAGTTTTCATACCTTTCTGAGGAAGCGATTCCATTTACCTTCGTCCATGTTGATGTTTTATTGAACGTGGGAAGAACGCAGCCCTGCAGGAGAAAACTTTTCAGAGAACCTTATGACGAAAACTTCTATGAGGTTCTTCGAACGGCTGCAATTCACCGCAAGTTTCTCGAGCAAACATGATGGATGAATAAGAAAAATGGAGGAGTTTCAGGCGAGGCTTTAAGGCTGCCGAAATCCTGGGTGTGGTGAATGATGTCGAGCAAGCTGTGGCCCTCCTACCACAGTACAGCTAGCGCCTAACCCAAGATGAGGAAAGTGTAGAGGTGGTCGTAGTGGTAGCATTGGTGGTGGTGGTGATGGTGGTGGTGGTGGTGGTGGTGGTGGTGGTGGTGGTGGTGGTGGTGGTGGTGGTGGTGGTGGTGGTGGTGGTGGAGGTGGTGGTGGTGGTGGTGGTGGTGGTGGTGGTGGTGGGTGGTGGTGAGGTAGTGAAGTCTGACAAGTACTGTTAAGTAAGGAAGACCGAGCAGAGATGGAGGAGAGAGGGGGAGGAAAGAGGAGGGTAAGCTCCCACACGTGTCTCACACACTTGCCTCCGATCTCCTAAAACACCTGTCTCCCTCACACACCTGCCTCCTCACACACCTGCCTCCCTCACACACCTGCCTCCCTCACACACCTGCCTCCCTCACACACCTGCCCCCTCACACACCTGCCACCCTCACACACCTGCCTCCCTCACACACCTGCCTTCCTGTCTTTCTCAAACACCTGCCTCCCTCACGCACCTACCTCCCTCACACACCTGCCTCCCTCACACACCTGTCCCCCTCAACACCTGCCTCCTCACACACCTGCCTCCATCACACATCTGCCTCCCTCACACACCTGCCTCCCTCACACATCTGCCTCCCTCACACACCTGCCTCCCTCACACAACTGTCTTCCTCACACACCTGCCTCCCTCAAACACCTGCCTCCCTCACACACCTGTCTTCCTCACACACTTGCTCCCTCACACACCTGCCTCCCTCACACACCTGCCTCCCCTCACACACCTGTCTTCCTCACACACCTGCCTCCCTCACACACCTGTCTTCCTCCACACCTGCCTCCCTCACACACTGTCTTCCTCACATACCTGTCTTCCTCACATACCTGCCTCCCTCAGCACACTGCCTCCCTCACACACCTGCCTCACTCACACACCTGTCTTCCTCACACACCTGTCTTCCTCACATACCTGCCTCCCTCACACACCTGCCTCCCTCACACACCTACCTCCCTCACACACCTGTCTTCCTCACACACCTGCCTCCCTCACACACCTGTCTTACTCACACACCTGTCTTCCTCACATACCTGCCTCCATCACACATCTGCCTCCCTCACACACCTGCCTCCCTCACACACCCGCCTCCCTCACACACCTGCCTCCCTCACACACCTGTCTTCCTCACACACCTACCTTCCTTATCGTCCAGACATACCTCGTATTATTTTCACTTGCTTTTATATAGGGACTCCTACTAAGGTCACTACCAGGACCCCACTTATCCCCTTACTACGAAGACCACCATCCACGTCACTACAGGGGCCACCATCCACGTCACTACAGGGACCACCATCCACGTCACTACTGGGACCACCATACGCGTCACTACTGGGACCTCCATCCACGTCACTACAGGGACCACCATCCACGTCACTACTGGGACCACCATCCACGTCACTACTGGGACCACCATACACGTCACTACAGGGACCACCATCCACGTCACTACAGGGACCACCATAAACGTAACTACAGGGACCACCATCCACGTCACTACTGGGACCACCATCCGCGTCACTACTGGGACCACCATCCACGTCACTATTGGGACCACCATCCACGTCACTACAGGGACCACCATTCACGTCACTACTGGGACCACCATCCACGTCACTACAGGACCACCATCCACGTCACTAATGGGACCACCATCCACGTCACTACTGGGACCACCATCCACGTCACTACAGGGACCACCATCCACGTCACTACTGAGACCACCATCCACGTCACTACTGGGACCACCATCCACGTCACTACAGGGACCACCATCCACGTCACTACTGGGACCACAATCTGCGTCACTACTGGGACCACCATCCACGTCACTACTGGGACCACCATCTACATCACTACTGCGACCACCATCCACGTCACTACTGGGACCGGGACCACCATCTACATCACTACTGCGACCACCATCCACGTCACTACTGGGACCGGGACCACCATCTACATCACTACTGCGACCACCATCCACGTCACTACTGGGACCGGGACCACCATCTACATCACTACTGCGACCACCATCCACATCACTACTGGGACCTCCATCCGCGTCACTACAGGGACCGGGACCACCATCCACGCCATTACGGGGACCACCATCCGCGTCACTACTGGGACCACCATCCACGTCACTACTGGGACCACCATCCACGTCACTACTGGGACCACCATCCATGTCACTACTGGGACCACCATCCACGTCACTACTGGGACCACCATTAACGTCACTACTGGGACCACCATCCACGTCACTACTGGGACCACCATTAACGTCACTACTGGGACCACCATCCACGTCACTACTGGGACCACCATCCGCGTCACTACTGGGACCACCATCCACGTCACTACTGGGACCACCATTAACGTCACTACTGGGACCACCATTAACGTCACTACTGGGACCACCATCCACGTCACTACTGGGGCCGGGACCACTATCCACGTCACTACTGGGACCTCCATCCGCGTCACTACAGGGACGGGGACCACCATCCACGCCATTACGGGGACAACCATCCGCGTCACTACTGGGACCACCATCCACGTCACTACTGGGACCACCATCCACGTCACTACTGGGACCACCATCCATGTCACTACTGGGACCACCATCCACGTCACTACTGGGACAGGGACCACCATCCACGTCACTACTGGGACCGGGACCACCATCCACGTCACTACTGGGACCGGGACCACCACCCACGTCACTACTGGGACCGGGATCACCATCCACGTCACTACTGGGACCACCATCCACGTCACTACTGGGACCACCATCCACGTCACTACTGGGACCACCATCCACGTCACTACTGGGACCACCATCCACGTCACTACTGGGACAACAATCCACGTCACTACTGGGACCGGGACCACCATCCACGTCACTACTGGGACAACCATCCACGTCACTACTGGGACAACCATCCACGTCACTACTGGGACCACCATCCACGTCACTACTGGGACCACCATCCGCGTCACTACTGGGACCACCATCCACTAATGGAACCACCATCCACGTCACTACCAGGACCACCATCCGCGTCACTACTGGGACCACCATCCGCGTCACTAATGGGACCACCATCCACGTCACTACTGGGACCACCATCCACGTCACTACTGGGACCACCATCCACGTCACCACTGGGACCACCATCTACTACTGGAACCACCATCCACGTCACTACCGGAACCACCATCCGCGTCACTACTGGGACCACCATCCACGTCACTACTGGGACCACCACCCACGTCACTACTGGGACCACCACCCACGTCATTACTAGGATCACCACCCTGGTCACTACTGGGACCACCACCCACGTCATTACTAGGACCACCACCCACGTCATTACTAGGACCACCACCCACGTCATTACTAGGACCACCACCCACGTCATTACTAGGACCACCACCCACGTCATTACTAGGACCACCATCCACGTCATTACTAGGATCACCACCCACGTCATTACTAGGACCACCCCCACGTCATTACTAGGACCACCACCCACGTAAATTACTGGGACCACCACCCACCTCATTACTAGGATCACCACCCACGTCATTACTAGGACCACCACCCACGTCATTATTGGGACCACCACCCACGTCATTACTAGGATCACCACCCACGTCATTACTAGGACCACCACCCACGTCATTACTAGGACCACCACCCACGTCACTACTGGGACCACCACCCACGTCATTACTAGGATCACCACCCACGTCACTACTGGGACCACCACCCCCTTCACTACTGGGACCACCACCCACGTCATTACTAGGATCACCACCCACGTCACTACTGGGACCACCACCCACTTGCTGTCTTGTGAGACACCTCACACTTGCAGTCATGTGCGAAACCTCGCACATGCTCTTATATTGTAAGAAAACCTCGTAAAAATATTGTTAGTTTTAAAGATGTTTCTATATAGGATGATGCAAAGAAGAAACGAGTTTTACTACTGAGAAATAGAAACAAATGCGTTTACAAGCTTCATAGACGACGTTTCGCCCACACAGCAAGTTTTAATTAATAACTTAATAAACCTTGCTGAGTGGGAAAAAACTTGGTCAGTAAAGCCTTCTTGTAAAAGCCGCTTGCTCCTAATATTCGACCTGCCCAGGTGTGTTACCGTTTTTTGTCGACTATCAAGCAAATTGTTTGTATGAAAAGCACAGTATAAGTATGGTTATGTTTGACAAGTGTTTGTAATCACAGGTCGACACTTGGAAAATATTCTCGGTTCTACGGTGATCGATTTTAAGTGGGCGAATGAGATGAGATGATTGTACACTGGTCTCCTTTATGTCGATACCTTTGATATACGAAGAATTATACACGTGTGCAACATCTGGGTATCTTTATTGTAGACGTTTCGCCGTCTAGTGGTTTTATCAATACAAATTCCAATACATAATTTGAACACAGTAAAACTCTGCATAAGATGAGATAATCAGTCGCTCAGCCTTGAAGTTCTTGAAGAACATCATAGTCTTGAAGAGGTTAAGCTCAGGCATGACTGCTTCACCCGTCTGGGTCATGAAGAACCCAGGAATGTAGGAAGTAATCACGTTTGATCCAGGGATGCCTTTATGTCCTTCAGTAAGTTCACTGAGAAGATGTCCCAGTCACTTTTGAACGTTCACTTAGTGTATCATGCCAGTCAAAGTCAATATGAATAAGTCCACAGTACCAATATTCCCTTACTGACTGAAAGACAATACCTAGCTCTTGAGCAATGTGTTTGTTCTCACAGCTTGTATCTGAGATTTGTTAAAGTGCTGAGAAATGTGAAGTTCAGATTAAGTTCCTATAGATTCGCTCATTACTTATTAACGTAGCCGAGCGGTCAGGCACTAGTAATACTGTCACTCCTGTCTGGACTCCAGCCACAATATCGTGCACGCAGGATAGTGCTGAGACTACTATCCTTGCGATGGCGACTTGTTCAAGTGCTCGTTCCTTTCCAGGGGACGCTTTGAGAAGAGCTTTACTTGCAACGAGTTATGCCATCTCTTGCTGATGCCACGAGCCGTTGCAGAAAGACGTTTCTGTGGCTAGTGCTCTCAATAGAGTGTCTGTTGTTGTCCCTTGTGTTCCAGATTGTGATCCCATCCTCGTTGACAGTAATCAGTGCAATGTAAGAAGTTATTTCTCGAGTAACTTTCACATGTTGTTAACGTTCTTTTTTTTCAACCGGGGAGAGTCATCCACTCCACCGAGTTTGTTCATTCTTCCAGTAAGAAAGAACGGATCCCTTGTGTTCTGGTGATTCGATTCCTGCTTCAGGAAGATCTTATTCTGACTGTGAAGCCATCAGCACCCATCAGTGACTTTGTAATGAGTCAAGAATTCCTGTATCGAACAGCCGAGTTAGGTACTCCAAGTAGAAGAGTATACCAGTTAGTAATTCCACAGTCACTAGTGAACGTAGTTCTACAGCTAGTTCATGATGCACCAGGTGTTGCACACCCTGGTATGGATCGTTCTGTGAAACAAGCCAGAATGAAGTACTTTTTGCCACGTATGGCAACTGACATTTCAGAGTATGTTAAGAAATGTAGTGTTTGTATGCAACATAAAGGAAATGTCAATGGTTCTAATCCAATCCAGGTGTACCCAACCACTAGCGAACCGTGGGAAAGAGTTGCCCTTGATTTGTTAACCAATTTTAAATGTTCCCTCCAAGGCAACAAACATCTGTGTGTTATGGTAGACCATTTCACCAGATATTGTGAGTTAGTTCCTATTGCAGATAAGACTGCAGAGACAGTAGCTAAAGCGTTTAAAGAACGCATTATCTGCAGGCATACCACCCCTAAGTCCTTAGTAACGGATAATGGAGGTGAATTCTGTAATGAGATTCTTGAAAATTTGTGTACTTTATACAAGATCTCTAAATCCACCATTGTTCCTCATCATCCTGCCAGCAATGGGTTAGCTGAACGAACCAATAAGAAAGTACTTGATGTTTTGAGAGCCACTATCAACCCCAATTGTGAAACTTGGGATGAAGTTATACCAGATGTTCAATGTGCCATAAATTCTGCTTACAATGCTTCCATAGGTGATACTCCACATTATGCATTGTATGGTGTAGACAAGCGTTTACCCTATGAGTTGTTATATTCCACTCCGAAATCCAATTACAACCCTGATGATTTCGTAGCAACTCGTACAAGCATGGCTCAGAGTGTTTTTAGAAGAATCCGTGAAACACTTCATAAATCAACAGCAGAATTTACTAGTTACTAATAATCATGCTAAACTATTAAAAGTTAAAGTAGGTTCAAGAGTAATGCTGACAAATTTCAACAAAACATCCGCAATGCCTAAGCTCGATCAAAAGTTTGTCGGACCTTATCGAGTTGTAGAACATATCTCTGGCAATAAGTATAAGGTTAGAGAAGTTAGTACTGGTAAGTACAAAGAATCGCATTTAGATCATATGAAATTAGTATGCGATGTTGATGATATTGCTACCCAGACTAATGTGACAGATGCTGAAAATCCTCTTGACTCTGTACCCTCTACCTCAGATACTCAGTTAGATAATCAACCTGAATGTCGTTACTCCTTGCGTACTCGACAAGTAATGAGAAACCCACAAGTGTCTTTTGTAGATACTCGTTCAGATCTCCCTCAGTCAAGGCATGTGTTAGCCATTGCAGAGGAATTTGATCCTCTCAGAGATGATAACCATTCTGCATATGTAAACCTCACCCTCGCAGAATTGGGTTTAAATGTATATAGTCTGTATAATTAGATGTCAGAGATGAAGGAAATTGTCAACTGTGTGTTTTGTTATTAACTGATCAGTTTTTCAGAAAAAATTTTTTTCGTGTTCACGTTCCCTCCGTATTCTGAGAATTTGACAGTAGTGATCTGAGTGCACCAGATGACTTTACTGTTAATTTCACCTTGTATATATATATATATATATATATATATATATATATATATATATATATATATATATATATATATAATATATTATATATATAATATATATATATATATATATATATATATATATATATATATATATATATTATATATATATTATATATATATATATATAAATATATATTATATATATATATATTTATTCTTTCTCAGAATCCGTAGAGTGCATGAATACAGATCGATCGATCAATTCCATCCCATATTGTACCATGATTTGTTCTTATAAGTCGTAATGCATTACAATGAAACCCATTACGTTAAAAGTGATTACGTTAACACCCATTACATAAAACTCATTTTGTTAACATCCAGTATGATACCATCCATTAGTTCTAAGTTATATATGAATTTGTTATTGTATACAATCAGCCCAGAACCACCGGCTTGTTCAGCCTATAGCATAGTAGTGTATGTCGAGACGACATACGTAACATGACCGAGCTGTCAGCACAGTTGCTGATCCCCTTATATGTGTTATATAGATTAGCTGAGTATCATAGTACCATCCATGTGTTTATATAGAAGATCCCTTAGGCCTGTGACTGTATGACTTCACGGGATGCAGCGTGAGTGAGTGACGAGCTGCCCCTTCCTCACTCGACGGACCACCTACGAACAGGCAAGAACACGGCAGGCCTGGGCTCCCACCTCTCATCACAGTCTGACAATACATAGTGTTACCATCCAACAAGTGTGTATACCTTCAACCCTCTTATCTCCTTAAGAACCCCTACGACACACCCACGTCGCTACTAGGACCACCACCCACGTCACTACTGGGACCACCACCCACGTCACAACTGGGACCACCACCCACGTCATTACTAGGGCCACTACCCACGTCACTACTGGGACCACTACCCATGTCATTACTAGGACCACCACCCACGTCACTACTGGGGCCACCACCCACGTCATTACTAGGACCACCACTCACGTCATTACTAGGACCACCACCCACGTCATTACTAGGACCACCACCCACGTCATTACCAGGACCACCACCCACGTCATTACTAGGATCACCACCCACGTCATTACTAGGATCACCACCCACGTCACTACTGGGACCACCACCCACG